ATGTATATGTATGTATATGCATGTATCATGTATATTCGCTTTCCAGTTGTTAGGTATAGGTTGAACTGACGCGTACTCGTTTTTGACAACCATATGGAAGTCAAAGATTAGAGTTGGATGATCATTTTTACCTAAGGTTGGCATAAAATCGAGGTTCGTGACATCACCCTCACATTGGGTCAATATAAGTTCTAGTGAGGATGATTCAGAGTCCCGGTTGTATCTAGTCTCTTCCCTCACATGTTGTTCTAGGGCACATGTGATAACCGCATCAACTAGTTCCTGCTCCAGGAAATTTTCTGACAATTCAGTTCTCAGATTACTCCAGCCTACCATGGGTGTAATAAAGTCTTCCAGGATTAGACATCGACCATCTCATGACCAAGTATTGAGACTCTCTAGCAATACCTCATTTACCTCACAGCTTGGACTGATGTAGACCAAACCAATCAGCAGCTATCGTCCTTTACATTTCAAGCAGCAATTAACTAATTCACACGTCACATTCTCATGGGATACACTGTCAATAATGGTAAGTAGGATAGTATTCTTAACAAATAGAGCTACTTCCCCTCCTTTACACTTCTGAATTCTGTCGACTCTTACCAACGTAAAACCTTCAAAAGCAAGTTCCATACTATCTATAAGTTAAGTCAGCCAAGTTTCTGTGTCTGCGATTATATCTGGCTTCGTAGAGTCAATCTGTACAACTAGTTATGACCGCATTTTTGAGCAAGCTTCGGAAATTTGTGTGACAGATCGGAAGCCTATTTAAATGGCTTCGGGCTGCACCCAAAGTGGCTTCGGCATCATTCTCTGTCAAAGCCTCATGGATGAAAGTTTACGACGTTTACGTCCTTTTCGCCAGCATTCAACCTAAGTTTTAGTTCTTTCCGGCCCTGCGTCTTTTAACATGGTGTGCGAGCGGCAAGTCTTTATGTACTAAAACCCTTGACCCCTTTAGTCTATGTCCATTCTGTAATATTAAGTTCCGTTCATTAGGACGTTTAAATAATACATTAAGCAGCCTGGTTTGATTCTGTTTCGAGTTCATTTGGCTACCTAGTCCTTACACCTTTGGCAAGGTGACTCCGGAGATATTCTGAGGTATATGCTGATTCAGTGGCTGTTTTGTCAACCCAATATCATGATCAAAACGAGTTTTCAGTTCTGAACTTTCAATCTCCTTGATTTTATAAAAGATAACTGACCTTTCACTGTGGTGAGTTTTAATTGCTCGGCTACTTATTGGGGGGGCTGTATTTTCTTTAATAGCGTTATGTAGTTTCTTGTTCCCGACCTATGCCCATTCACCGACTTCTGTTAGAGTAACAATCACAGTCGTGTCATACACATTGTGGGATTCCGGAAGACTATCGACGACTTGGGCAGTCAGGTTGTTTTTCCTACTAAAAACAGATCTAGCCTTGCTATTGAGATTTTGAGGCGTTTCCTGCCAGATACCATTTATAGGACAGTGGATAGAGGAAACTTTCTTTCTTGAGTTTTTATTTAGAACAGACCTCTTTGAAGTCGGTCTTTCCTCCTTTGATAGATGTGAGTCAGCTGCCACCGAGCTTATTCGGGGCGGCTTCACATCACTTTGTGTTTTGACAGAGGGAGTACTGTCCTATATGTGGATGCTCATTGGGATTTTTTTACTGCACATGATCTTATGTGCCACTGAGCATCAGTTCCTCAAATGGTCTCAAAAAGCTACAAACAACCTCCAATCATCAAGAATCGCACTCATCGTTTGCTAAGCCGCAAAAGGCACTGTTGGGCCGAATATAAACGAACTGACAATAACGACTCATACAGGTAATATAAACGCATAAGGAACATATGATCAAAGGCAATAAGAGAAGACAGGCTTCAGTTCCAGACCAAGCTTATTGATAAATTCGTCTCCAATCCGAAAAGCTTATTCAGTTACGCAGCTTCTCTTCGACAAGGCAAAACTGGAGTTTCCTAACTACTTGGTCCTAATGGCCCGACCAATAACGACGGTGATGCCGCCAACCTTTTTTCTGAACAATACTCCCAGACATTCCAACCGACCTACATCAACTATACTGACGAAAGCTTCACCTGCACCTGTACAGGACTTTCCGAAGTGGATCTGAGTGCTGACCTGGTACTCCGAAAACTGAAGCACCTAAGAAAAGACACTTCTCCCGGTCCGGATGTGGTTCATTCCGCTGTTTTGAGGGAAGCAGCTTCAATCCTGGCGACACCACTTAGCGTGATGTTTGCACACTCGCTAAGCAGAGGCAAACTACCGGAAACTTGGAAGCTGGCCCACATCACACCAATTTTCAAAGGAGGTCGACGCAGTGAACCCTCAAGCTACCGACCAGTGGCCCTTCTCTCCATACCTTCCAAAATTATGGAATCCCTAATATACGACGGTATACAAGAATACTTATCATCCTTAAAGTTCTTCTCACCTCAACAACATGGTTTGAGAAAAGGTCATTCTTGTATGATCAACCTGCTGACTGCGGTGGATAGACGGACAACCATCCTTGATCGCAAGGGGAAGGTTGACGTCATCTACCCGGACTTCTCAAAAGCTTTTGATAGGTTCAACCATATATGTCTTATAAAGAAGTTTAGACGATTGGGTATAAAACCCCCTTTGATTGATTGGCTCTCTTCATATTTAGAAAACCGACACTTTAAGGTCAGGGTTAACTTCACTCTCTCTCAGGCTATGGAATGTCCTAGTGGGGTCCCCCAGGGCTCAATACTAGGACCTCTTCTCTTCTTGATTTATATTAACGATCTTCCTCAACAAGTTTCATCTGACATTGCTTTTTGCTGATGATGTGAAACTTTGGAGAGAGATACGTAATCATAATGATATACTAATTCTTCGGGAGGATCTGGCCCGACTTCAAAGTTGGGCAGACGACAACGGACTTACCTTCAACACTTCAAAGTGCAAAGTAGTCCATCTGAGACATGTTGCAGACTATAGTTATAACTTAGGTAACTCACCTCTAGAAGTTTCCCAAGTTGAAAAAGATTTGGGAGTGTTGGTACCCTATGACCTGAAATCGTACGCGAACTGTGACAAAAACGCCTCTCAAGCAAACCTTGCACTGGTAACATTGAGTCCTTTAAGAGGAAACTTGACTTATACTTAAGGACTAAGGAGCACCCACAGACCTCCCAATCGATGTTGGCCCACCAACAATTGAGGAGATCAGCATGGCCATTAGACAAATCAAGAGCGGCAAAGCAGCGGGACCAGACAGCTGAAGGCAAATCTAACAGCAACTGCCAAGATACTCCACAACCTCTTCAGTAAGATTTGGGACGAAGAACAAGTACCAACAGACTGGAAAAAAGGACTTCTGATCAAGATGCCAAAGAAAGGCGATCTGAGCAAGTGCGACAACTACAGGGGCATCACTCTTCTCTCAATACCAGGAAAAGTCTTCAACCGAGTATTGTTGAACAGGATGAAGGATTCCGTGGACGCCCAACTTCGAGATCAACAAGCTGGATTTCGTAAGGATAGATCGTGCACAGATCAAATCGCAACTCTGCGGATCATTGTGGAACAATCAATCGAATGGAATTCATCACTCTACATCAACTTCATCGACTACGAGAAGGCATTTGATAGCGTGGACAGGACGACACTATGGAAGCTTCTTCGACACTACGGCGTGTCTGAGAAGATAGTAAATATCATACGGAACTCCTATGATGGACTAAACTGCCAAATCGTCCACGGAGGACAACTCACCGACTCATTCGAGGTAAAGACTGGTGTTAGGCAAGGTTGCTTACTCTCACCATTTCTCTTTCTCCTAGTGATCGACTGGATTATGAAGACGTCAACATCTGGAGGAAAGCACGGGATACAGTGTACAGGCAGGATGCAGCTGGACGATTTAGACTTCGCGGATGATCTGGCTCTTCTATCACAAATGCAGGAGAAAACGATCAGTGTAGCAGCAGCATCAGCAGCAGTAGGTCTCAATATAAACAAAGGGAAAAGCAAGACTCTCCGATACAATACAATATGCACCAATCAAATTACACTTGACGGAGAAGATTTGGAGGATGTGGAAACATTTACATATCTGGGCAGCATCATTGATGAACACGGTGGATCAGATGCAGATGTGAGGGCGCGGATAGGCAAAGCAAGAGCAGCATATCTACAACTGAGGAACATCTGGAGCTCAAAACAATTGTCAACCAACACCAAGGTTAGAATTTTCAATACAAATGTCAAGACAGTTCTTCTGTATGGAGCGGAGACGTGGAGAACTACGAAAGCCATTATCCAGAAGATACAAGTGTTTATTAACAGTTGTCTACGTAAAATACTTCGAATCCGTTGGCCAGACACTAACAACAACAAGTTACTGTTGGAGACAACAAATCAGATTCCAGCGGAGGAAAAAATCAGGAGGAAGCGCTGGAAGTGGATAGGACACACTCTGAGGAAATCACCCGATTGCGTCACAAGACAAGCCCTCACATGGAATCCTGAAGGTCAAAGGAGAAGGGGAAGACCAAAGAACACATTACGCCGAGAAATAGAGACAGACATGAGAAGAATGAACAAGAACTGGATAGAACTAGAAAAGAAGGCCCAGGACAGAGTGGGTTGGAGAATGCTGGTCGGCGGCCTATGCTCCATTGGGAGTAACAGGCGAAAGTAAGTAAGTAAGTAAGGATAAAATATTATTATGATTTACCAAATTCTTTTTTTTCTCTATTATCGTTCATATACCTAGGTTTTTGCCTGGAGGTATTGGTGATCCACTTCTACTAGACACGGAAGCCCGTTAAGCGAAAGTTTCTTCTATTCCGTCCTCAACCATTTGAACCATTTGACTCAAGGTAGTATATTATTTTTGTGGCCTGAACCTGTCTGTATAAGAGATTTGATACTAGTCTGCTAAGAGAATGAGAAAAAATTTAAAATTATTTACACAAAGCACTCATTAGTCATTGGAAATGTTTCGAACAAACTTGAATCGATCAACTTCTGGCACATTTTTAAGTGTTGACCTTGACTGGAACCCACAGTATGTGATGTTTCTTAGATTGCTTTTTGGCTCAGTGAGGCTAAAACATCTTTGGATGTTAGTCTTAGCATATGTTATCTCGTTTGTTGTGGTGGATCACCACAGCTTCTCACTGATACCAGTTTGGGCTTTACATTTAAAGGCTAATAGACATGCTCCGATTGAATCGGATGGGAATTCTAACAGTTTGTTTAGCACAATTATCGATTACTCATCATATAATTGGAGCATATACTTGTCAATTGCTATTCCTCAATCAAATGGTAGTTCTTCGTACGATTTGGTAGTTTTCCAACTTCCTATGTTAAAGTCTCTTGAGCTTTCTGTTATGGATCCTTATCGTAAAATAACCAATTTTTTAAGTTTTCAAAAAATCCGGTCAAACAGTTTTAATCGGGAACCGATCAGGCTGAAATCCTTTTTTTATAAGGAGAGTTTGGTAGGTTTAGTTTGTTGTTAGTTATGTACTTTTTGAGTTTAGATTCATGTGGTTGTAGAATGTCGCAAAATCAGCTCTCGAGTGAACTCTTATGTTTTGTTTGAAATTGCTGTGTATGATAGTCAGCTCAATGAAATGTGGAGGAGAGCTCTACACCAAATTTTACTGGATGAGGTTGATGTAAACTTCAAATCAGTCCCTATCTCCTTATCATTTGATTTAACATGTGGTTTGGTTTATCCTAGACTTTGTGGGGTGATCTTTGTCGGTTTCCCGACAAACAAGTAAGTTTGAACGGTTAACTACGTGTTCATGTGAGAAATGGTAGGTATCACCGAATGGCCGGAATTTCCCCCTTTTTTAATTCTACTGAACTGTCCACAAATTTACAAAATGATCGTTTGAGTGCATGATTGCGAAACAAAATAAGATGTTCAAAGTTCTTGGGTTTTGACGTTCTAAACAGTAATGGTATCTAGGTAGTTATTGTCTAACTACGAAAAAATTTCCTTGTGGATTCATTGATTATATAAACATGGTCATGTTACTCACAATCAGAACTGCATTATTAGGGAAAAAAATCAAGTTTTCGGAACCCTTGGAACAGGTGTTAGTGTTACTTAGGGTAGTAAAGTTAGGATCTATCAAACAATAACTGAATATTCAAGACTTCATCCACAACTGGTTGTAGGGCATCATGTCAATTGTTTATCTGTAGTAACTAACTAACTCAGTCAGTCAGCTACAACGTAAGACCACCCGACCGTTGCTGCTACCTTGACGTGGTGGTCGGGCTTGCTTATCGTGATGATTCAATCGAGCTATACTGGCTGGAACAATCGTTCCTCAAGGTCCTACCATGCCAGACAGGTCGGTTGAAGAGCTGTCAGACTAAAAGCAGCAAACCCAAGGTCCGAAGGCGAAGTCGTACTGCTGACTGTACAGAGGTGTGACAGCAGTAAGGTGTTTCCTTCGAACAACCAGCATGACAGCGATGCTGCCTTCCCACAAGGAGGGGTGGAGTTAGAAAAGGTCGACCCTAAAAATGCACACCTCGCCTTATCCCATGGCTATCCGTCTCCGGCGGTAAGGTCCCTTGAAGAACGGAGCTAACACAAAAACTACCCACAAAAAGGTCGTGTGTGACCGACCTCAAGCAGTTGTCCCTTGGGCACTGCGGCCACGCTCTTAGGTCATTAAGACCACTTCTAACCTAATTTCCTTTACATATACCTCTAGAAGAACCTTTCCACGGTGTGGGCAACCGGGAAGTGATAACTGCCCTCATACCTCTAACAGCACTCAAGACCACTGTATTCATAATCAACCTCCTTCAATTCCTAATATTCCTTCTACCTTGACTTTCAACACTAAACTTCCTCTTTCGGTTTCCTCCTCAAGTGTCACCATGGCCAATGATTCTAGTGCGCGAAACGCTGTTCCAGGTCTACTAAAACTTCGCTCCAAACTACACATTGGAGCCTTCAACGTACGTACTTTAAGTCAAATCGGTCAACAGGCCTCCTTAGCTCAAACCCTAGAATCTCGTACCATTGATGTATGCTGTGATCTCGAAACACGCATACAAGATCCTAGTGTGGTCATTCACTTGACCTCACCTTGCCAAAATGGACAGCCAACGAAATACACCCTCGTGTATCTGGCGACCCGTTGGCTAGTTCTCGTGGACTTGCAGGTGTAGGCATAGCACTAAGTACAAGTGCAGAAGAAGCACTACTAGAATGGATCCCCGTTAACAGTCGCCTGTGTGCTGTCCGGCTAAGTGGATCCGTAAGAACTCGGAAGGATAGGGACACACGTCGTTGCTTTTTCGTCGTTTCTACCTACGCTCCCACTGACTGCAGCCCTGATGAAGTAAAAGATGACTTTTACAGAAAGCTTTCTGAGCTTATTCAGAAAGCTAAGCGCTCAGACATAGTAGTTGTAGCGGGTGACTTTAATGCCCAGGTAGGCAGCTTAAATCAAACAGAAAGACATTTAGGTGGGTGTTTTAATATTCCGGCTCAACGAACCGATAATGGTGATCGTCTGTTGCAGCTATGCTCAGACAATCGTTTATTTTTTAGCAAGCACTAATTTTAAGCATAAGGAGAGACATCGTCTAACATGGCGACCACCTGCACCAAACCAACGATGGACTCAAACAGACCATATTGTCATCAGTCATCGTTGGAGAGGCTCAATAGAAGATTGTCGCTCGTATTGGAATACTCGTTTAGACTCTGATCACGCTTTAATACGAGTGCGCATTTGTCTGCGCCTCAATGGACGCAGGAAAAGTACACTAAGAAGACCCATTAAGATTGAACTGGAGGACGAGAAAGCCAAATGCGAATTCCAGAAAATTCTGTAAACGAGACTGACCAAGATGCTGCTTGGAAAGACACACGAACAGCTGTGGAAACAGCAGTAACATCTATTCGTTATTTAAACCATAGGGCTCCAAAACACCAGTGGATTTCTTCTAAGTCTATTTCACTAATGGATTCGCGTAAACTCATCCCATCAGGCTCTGAACACGACGAAGATTGTAAACAAATTAGATCTAGGTTAACTAAAAGTCTAAGGAACGATCGTGAGCAGTGGTGGGCAATGAAAGCAAAAGAGATGGAAAAGACAGCGGCTGTAGGCAACACCAGGCAACTCTTCAGACTAATAAAAGAAACCGGAATTAAGAAGTCAAGTGTAAGTGAGACAATCTCAGAAAAAGATGGAACCCTTATCTGCTCTCAACCCAAACGTTTAGAACGATGGGCGGAACACTTTAAGGAGCAGTTTAGCTGGCCTTCAGCTACTGCACAACTACCTACTATTCCCAGAAAACCTGAATTGAACATCAAAGTAGGCCCCCGACCCTACTTGAAGTTCAAAAGGCTGTAACTAATCTGAAACGAGGAAGAGCAGCTGGTCCAGATGGATTGGCTCCAGAGGTCTTTAAAAATGGTGGTCCAATTTTAGCGATTAGGTTGGCTAATATTCTGGCTAAAATCTGAGAGACGGACGTAATCCCATCTGACTGGTCACAATCTCTGATTGTCCCAATATATAAGAAGGGGCCAAAATCATCCTGTGATAACCATAGAGGGATTAGTCTGACTAACATAGCATCTAAAATACTAGCCTCAATAATTATCGGGCGCCTAACTAAGACTCGTGAACTGCAAACACGAGAAAATCAGGCTGGCTTCAGACATGGTCGTGGCTGTTTTGACCATATATTCACCATTCGTCAAGTTTTAGAGCACAGACATGCTTATTAGCGTCCGACAACGATAGTTTTTCTTGACTTGATAGCAGCATTTGATTCTGTAGACCGAGAGGTTCTGTGGCAGTGTCTGTCATTAAAAGGTGTACCTGAGAAGTACATAAACCTTGTGAAGGCTCTTTACTCTTTACTCAGCCCTAATGGGTTGGTGTCTGACAAAATCTCAGCATGGATTCAAAAAGCTCGTTTGGCATTTGCCAACTTACGTCACCTATGGCGAAGACGAGATATCCGTCTATCAATTAAGAGACGAGTATACTGTGCAGCAGTTCTCTCTGCTTTACTTTACGGCTGCGAAACATGGCCATTAAGAGTAGAAGATACTCGCAAGTTACTAGTATTTGACCACAAATGCTTTAGAAATATTGCTCGCATCTGCTGGGATTACCACGCAAGTAATAGTGAGGTTAGACACAGGGTATTAGGGAATGATGGTAAATCAGTTGATAAGGTTGTAAATCTTCATCGACTGAGATGGTTGGGCCACGTATTACGTATGCCTGAACACCGATTACCACGACTCACTATGCTGATTAGTATAGGGGATGGTAGGAAGAGGGTTAGAGGCGGCAAAACCAAAACATGGCATCAGAGCTTGAAGTCACTAACTTCTAGTCTCAGCCATGTTGGTAGATGCAGACTACTTGGTTGGGGTCCGCGTAACTGTCGTAACCAATTTTTGAAGACTGAGTGACATGGCTCAGAATCGATCACAATGGCGTAGGCGTATACACTCTTTGTCTTCCCTTATACTATGAGATTAAAATTGCTTCATAACTTTCTTCCTTCCTATACTATATCCTTATATACAACCTTTCTTTATATACTACCACCACTACTACTACTAAGAATCTGGTGTTCATCTTGTTGTGCTAACGAGGTATGGCAACTTGGACCGATGCATAAATGTGCCTGGTCCTACGTTGTAGCTGACTGACTGACTGAACGTAAGACCAGGCACATATATGCACCGGTCCAAGTTGCCATACCCCATTAACACAACAAGATCGACACCAAATTCATAGTAGTTAATTTAATGGTGATAATATATAAAAGAAAGGTTGTATATAAGGATATAGTACAGGAAGTAAGATATGAAGCAATTTTAATCTCATAGTTTAAGGGAAGACAAAGAGTGTATACGCCTACGCCATTGTGATCGATTCTGAGCCATGTCACTCAGTCTTCAAAAATTGGTTACGATAGTTACGCGGACCCCAACCAAGTAGTCTGCATCTACCAACATGGCTGAGACTAGAAGTTAGTGACTTCAAGCTCTGATGCCATGTTTTGGTTTTGCCGCCTCTAACCCTCTTCCTACCATCCCCTATACTAATCAGCATAGTGAGTCGTGGTAATCGGTGTTCAGGCATACGTAATACGTGGCCCAACCATCTCAGTCGATGAAGATTTACAACCTTATCAACTGATTTACCATCATTCCCTAATACCCTGTGTCTAACCTCACTATTACTTGCGTGGTAATCCCAGCAGATGCGAGCAATATTTCTAAAGCATTTGTGGTCAAATACTAGTAACTTGCGAGTATCTTCTACTCTTAATGGCCATGTTTCGCAGCCGTAAAGTAAAGCAGAGAGAACTGCTGCACAGTATACTCGTGGATTCCTTGCTAATGTGTGACTTGATGAGACCGCCAATTAGAGAGCAGCGATTTGTCGATTGGAACAGCGACACGAAACCCGTACGAGCAGTCTACAGTGCTAACCGGTCCTGTGATCCGCCTAGCCCAATCAGTTAAGTCCAAAAACACCAATAACAGCCTCAGTGGTATGAATCATTATTTACAAACACACTGGGTTTTTTTACAAACCAAAGTAATCAACAAACTGATTATAACTCAAGAATCGTATGATAATAAGTCAAGGTCAAAATAAAGCTAATGATAAGAGAAATACGAATATGAATAGTTCAGTTACGTAATAATTGTACAATAGGAAATAGACATATTACATTGATCCATAAATAGATCTAAAAGTTACCATTCGTAATTCACCGGGGGATATAACATCTTTCAAAAGCACTTTGTAGTCCCATGTTGTAGAGTGCATAACCATTGTATAAATACCAGTCAACAGTAAACGAATAACAAACCACCAAAGTTTTTTCTGTGATTTACGGAAGAAGTGTCTTAATGCGTCCATTAATTTAAAAATAACGAATATAACGTGCTAATATAAAAAACGCTTACTTGTCTACTTAAGTGTACTTGTGTTTTTATTACTTCTTTTCATTGGGTTCTAACAATGTATCTGAATATTCATTCATTCGTCCTTAGTAGTCTGCATTATTCAAAGCAAAGAATTTTATAAAGGCCGTAATTTTAGCAATATTTCATTTTATGCAATCGTTCCTTCACCTTCCCAGTATCAGCGTATCACATTACTCTACCATATCCCTTTCATTGGAAGATGGGAAAATACTTTGGCATCATCTGGTTGGTGATTTTGAAGATTCGAGAAAAGTAAGATAAGTCTGATCATAAAGTGTTATGTAAATAAAATGGTCAGTGTTCCCTTTTCAGATCATGTGTCATTATTAGACGTGAGTAAATATTTTTTAAGCCTACTTCCACCGCGTAGCGCAAAGCTTTATGATTTAGAGTAGACTAACTTATTTACGCGGCTAACAGAAAATCGCTCTCAGTATAAGGGATTGTGAGACCCAAAATATTTCACAGTAAAAGTATATACTAAATCGCCTTTTGACTACTGATCCTTTAGATTTTTTACTGATGAAACTACTGATGTAGGTTTTGTTTACTGAGTTGAATTTTTGATAGGAATTATGCCTGTTAGGACTTTCTAAAATTAACGGAATCAATGACTTACGCCTGTTACCAGGACCAAGTCATCTACGAAGTCCAAATGGTCTAGTTGCATGCAAGTTGTCCATTGTATTCCATACTTCCTCATCAGATGCGGAGGTTTTCATAATCCAATCGACCACTAGAAGAAAGAGAAAGAGTGAGAGTAAGCAGCCTTGACTGACTCCGGTCTCCACCTGGAATGCGCCTGTCAGCTGTCCTCCATGCACGATTTTTCAGGGTATTCCATCGTATGAATCCCGATTGATGGTGACGATTTTCTCAAATACATTGTAGTGTTGAAGAAGAACACATAATGTTCTTCTATCCACACTGCCAAATGCATTCTCATAGTCAAGGGAATTGATGTATAGTGACGAGTTCCACTCCATTGGTTGTTCAACGATTATCCGTAGTGTCACGATTTGGTCTGTGCACGATTGCTTTTTTTATGGAATCCGGTCTGTTGATCTCGAAATTGGGTGTCTACTGCCTCTTTCATCGGGTTCAGCAATACTCTGTTGAAAACTTTTCGTGGTACTGATGGTAGTGTGATTCCTCCGTAGTTCTCACATTTACTCCGATCTCCTTCCTCTGATATCTTGATGAGGTATTCTTCTTTCCAGTCTGTCAGTGACACTTGTTCCACCGCCCAAATCTTCCTGAATAGAATGTGGAGCATGTCTGCAGTTGATTCTATGTTTGACTTCAGTGTTCCAGGTAGTATATTGTCAGGTCCCACTACTTTCCTACTCTTGATTTGTCTGATGTCCATCCTGACTTCTCCGACCGTTGGTGTAGTGACATCTATTGAAGGTCTGTGTGTGCTGCTCCGATATCTGGTGGGTTCAGTGAATCTGGTCTATCCATGAGTTCTTGAAATTGTTCTACCCACCTATTCCTCTGTTCTTGAATTTCAGTGATTAGCTTGCCTTCTTTGTTCTTACCTGGTCGTTCGGGTCGACCATATCTCCCTACTTATTTTTTCGTCGGATTGTATTTTTGTTTCGTATTCATTTTTCTGCTGTCGTTTCTGTCTTGCACATGTTTGCAACCATCAGCTCTAACTCTCCACTCGTTTATTTTGCCTCTGTGTATTCAGTTTGTTCCTGACTTTCTCCACTGTTGAACCACACTTATGGCGTTTGAGTGTATAACCTAGAGCAAGTAGAATAGATTTTGAATTGTACTCCATTTGACCGTCAAGGAATCTTGGTACCTGCGTCGTCGCTGCATAGAATTGAGCTATGCTGTTCAGTTCTTAGTGTAAAAGCCTAAATAGTGTTTAGTCCTCATGGAAACCAGCCTGAAATTATTCTCGTGCAGAGTATATTTATATAATCATAGTCCATTAGTTATGAGTGAATATCTTGAATTATTAGAACATAGACTGAATGTTACTTAGAATGAGCACTAATCAATAAAAACGTTTAAATCTATGGTGCATCAATTAACTCTACGTCATATTGTTCTTCCCTGTGAATTATCGATTGAAGAGGTGATTTTGATGTAAGTGAATTACATTACTGTATAATACATGTCATTTTTTTCAACTTAGGCCTATGAAAGTGATTTAGTTTTGAAGAACTGGAAAATACGCATTTCAAAACAATATCTGTTTAGTACACATATTGATGAATCCCCGTGGACTGAATTTACTGAAAGTCTTTCTCATATTTTCGTAAGTTTTATTACTGTAATTCTATTACTAAAGCTTGTTATTCGACTTTATTTGCTATGAATCTTGTTAATCAGTTTTTAATAAGAGAATCTTGTTATCGGTTTGCTCAGAAAAGCCCAAATCTTTAAATATTGTGTTTACCTTTCAAAGACTCATTAAACCAAGTATCAGTATTTTTATAAAGAAGTTACGACAAGTTCGCCAGTGGAAATGAATGACTTTATCCCTTATAGTGCCTTTTCAGACGATATAATATTCCATTTCCTGAGTTTTACTACTGTGATTTCCCTCCTGAACTAGTCAATCTGGTTGTGTTCAATCTTTTGCCATTTTGAAGTGAGGCCATATGGTTGATTCCTTCGTATAGGTTTCGCGGGATAGATGTTGTATGGATAGAGGTTCACTTAGGTGAGCAACATTGGTCGCTAATTGTGTCATGCACTTGCTGGTGACTTAAGCAACTTCTTTTATTTATCAGCCTCCTCACTAAACAATCCTTGTCTCTAATGTAGTATACTTATTATTAAACGTAGGATGTGCATAATATATTTTATGTTTAGTGTTTAACTAACCTCACTTCCTTATTTATCATTTGTAGCCTGTTCGTTGGTATGGTGTGGGTAGTTGTGAAATTCGCCTTGTATATGCAAAGAAACACTCAGAATATCTTGTAGAAAATTCTCTGCGTACCCCAAATGCAATTGCTGTGATACATCCATCAGGTCTAGATCTTCTAGATTTAAAATCTGGTCATCCGCTTATGACTATTACTTTGAAATGGAGTGAGTAAAGAGCTTACTAGTTTTTTCTTGGAAGAATTGTTGTATATAGGAATATGATTATGTTTGGTTATTTCTTGGTATAAACTTCATGACATGAATTACTACTATTCAGTTATGATAATTTCAGCTGAGTAATTCAAATTAATACATTGCTCGTTAATTGTTAATAGTCTATAATGCGTGAAGATAGAGGATGATGTTATTTTGAGAGAATCGTTGCCTTCAATATTGCTGAGAAACTGCATTCTAGGTTCGTCAAGTCAAAGTTTAGTAATAGTTACCTTTCAGCTGAGATAAGAGACTAAATTTTACTCAACAAGCCATTAAAAGCCACAAAAGATTCTCCTAATGATATTTTTTAACTGAACACTAGCATTTTTTTTCAGTCATCCATTTGTCTACAAAATTAGTGTTAAACTTCACATTTGTAAATTGGGAGAAGGTTAGCAAAGTGGTAAGGGAAAATTATTTCTAAACATGATATACTTTTCGAGCTATTAGGCAGGTAGAAAATCACACATAATAGGCAAAGTAGTGGACCCCTAAGAGTACCACACTTCCGAAAATCATTTTCTATCAAAAATATATCTAACCGATGCTATGCATTTCGTCTTTAAATAAATATCAAACGCGATATTGGAGACACTTATTTTGTGCTGTTTAGATTTTATTAGTTTGGGAGAAATATAATAGAACGTCCTACTTATGTACGCTTTCCTATTTTAGAGATCGGATCAACATATACTATTCTCTCTACTCCGGTATCTGATGGTCTGATTAGTCGCCAGCTCGGATCGCCTACAATTTATGAACTACGAATTGCTTCAGAAATTACGGATTCTCCATCAAATGGTTTGAAAATAAAAGTGCCTCCTATTTCTGACCATGTTAATTCATCTCTGGAGAGTGACTTTTCACATACTGTTGACTGCCAGGGTATATTTATCCGTCACGAATCTGCACCTAATAATTGGGAAATAGTGAAATCATTTCACTCAAACGAAATGATTGAAATTCATTCATCCACTTATCACGGTTTATGTCGTCCTTTCAGAATGTGGGAGTATTCCAGACTAGGTAGATCAAATTGGCAAGAAGATTCAAGAAAATCAACTCCACCAGTCGTGGTGAAAAGGTAGTTTTAAAAATCGTTTTTATGCATTTTTATTTCAATGGTGATACGAATGGAACTAGTGAATCAAGTTAATGGCTTATAAAACTTGCTGGTTCGGTTACGAATTAGTCATATCATCACGAGGTTCCCAACAATGTTTCGACTTTTGACCAAAAATTCCATTGCTTTTGCCAGTCAGTTAGTCAAAACCAACATATAGCTCGGCATAAATATTCATTATCCCAAGTTGCCATACCATATCAAGATGATGAAATGAAATCAACAAGTTGAGTAGCAAACGAATCAAAATAATATAGTAGCAATGACCATGAGAACGATCCAACATTGAGAATATGGATTGAGAAGACAGAATAAAATGGTATACATAGAAGATTTAGAGTAAGATAAACAACAAATGTATGTTATTGTGACCGATTCTGATTCGTCTTTCCTAAAGTCCCCAACCATTGATCATAGTTATGTATCCATCTACCAACATGCTTCATAGGATGTTTTGTTTGAGCACCGGTAGCGTTTTTCCAGCCTACCCTTACTCCACCCAACATTGCACATTGACGTAGTTTATGTGTGGGCATACGTAGCATATGCTCCAGCCACATCAATCTATGAAGGTTCACAGGCTCATTAACTAATTTGACATCTTTGACACTACTTTTGGCTTTTGATAATCCTTTATAACTATGGTTTTAGAGTTTGTGTCTTCTTTTTGTGCTTGCTATTTGCGGTATATATTTCGAATATGATTAACACTAAGACAGAATTTGTTTAGTTCAATGAAGTTATCGGGGTTCAACAACTAAAAATGGGTCTATGAAGTTGATTTTATCAGACAAATTTGTTTCATCTATTCCTTTCATATTGTTTCTGCTTAATGATTTCTCATTCTGTGAAAGCACTTTATGTTGCTAGTTGATACCTGATTTATTCGGCATCATTTAGGTAAGAGACTGTGTAACACTTTTTACTAATTTGCCGAAACGATTTTATTAACGGACTAAATACAGAGGATAAGTGTTCGCGCGGGAGACTGAAGGTCCTAGGTTCGATTCTTGCGTGCAGGATCGTGGACGCTCACTGTTGAGAAGTCCCATACGAAGACGAAATGGCCGGTTACTGTTCCTGGATTTTCATTGGTTGTCTAATTGAGATATCGGTACATGATTTAAATGAAATTCAACAATCCTCACGACCCCATTCTGATAAATATAAAAGTTGTTATTAAGGTGATAATTTGATTAAAATGTACACTTTAACAGTCCTAAATATTTATTTATTTAGTGATTATCAAAAATACAAATTACCAATGAATTCTGTGGTTTTATATTTTATAACTGACATCAATCTTGAGTCAGACTAAATGTGAGTACATGTTTAAAATATAGTGATAGCGTTACTTGGATGAGTTCTAATGAATTGGTGAACACTTCACTTAACATACGATTAGGATTATTTCACATCTTTGGTCGCACTCGTGAATGGACAGAGGTTTAAAGTAAAATAAACTCCAAGATTTTGTCTATATTTTAAATTTTTTAGTGTTCTATTCGAACAATACAATACACAGTTCCACATTCTTTTATTTTTGTTTTTTTATTTTATTTAAACACATAAATATTGGTACAAAAAACACTAGATAAATATGCGCCTCACAAATCTCATTTGATTTGTGTGAGGGCTGAGATACTGCCCAGGTGCCCAGATTGAAGCAGGTAGTTTTCTTGGGGGACCACACCCGGAGCCTTTGACCTAAAGATCTGATCCACAAGGCAGTGGAGCATCGTGAGGAGATACAGTTCCATGGTAGCCGGTGACCAACAATAGGTTCATACGCCATTCGTTCCATCAAGATCCTGGAGCCCATGTGCACCATTGGTTTGGAATCAGGGTTTTCCAACTCCCCTAGGTGGACCCATGTCCACCAACCCGGTTAAAGCGCCAGACATTCGCTTTTCGTCCTCTCACTTTCGTAAACAACACTTTTGTTAGTTCAAGATTAATCACAGCAACTCAGCCTGGTTGTATATTCCTTTTATTTGTCAGGATCTAATAATAAGATCGACGTTGTTTTGGGAAATCCCCTTAAGAACGAGGTAATGAATAGAGGGGGACTACCAGTGTTTTTGCCCGATGAACTTCCATTTTGTTGGGGCGCCTACCAAGCCTCATCGTTCCACACACAACTGAGTTAATGCAGCCGAACTTAAGTGATAACTGTATTCTTAAGCTACAGAATGTTTCGTTTACTAGTAAGCTAGGTGAGTTGTCTCTATTTGTATTTATCGGTATTAAAGTGGTTATAAACCTATGTAACGATTAATGTATGCCACTTGATTTCTTATTCTTCTCTTTATTTTTGATGTACAGACATATTCCATTATCAGGCTTAGCTAGATTATGGTATTCGTTGATGCATGATAAATCTGATGAATTCAATTACCACGATGTGAATCAAGATTTAACCCATAAAAATGATCATGAACATCATGACATTTATTTTCTAACTTCGGATGGAATTATTACTTCTGTATCGAACCATGGGTATGAAAACTGGCGTGTAAGTTAATGTATTCTTTGGTGCTAGTTTCCGGTGTGTCACTTTCCAACTTGATCTTCACCACATTATGAATAGAGATGGTTTGTACATTCTCTACCTACACATTCAATGGAGTAGTAGTGTACATTTTAATCTTGTTTTAAAATCTATTTTAATGCATTGAAAAGCTAAGTAATAATAATTGGTAATTTCAAGGAATAAGCTAAAAGAACAGAGATTGAGATATAAAACAAGGATTAAAGAAAGAATCATTGTTGAAGCTGTACAATTTTTACGTTAATAGCTTACCATACATTTGTTGGTAATAATAATTTATTTTACATTATAATAACCACAGGGGTGTTCTCCTTGAAGGTGTGTAGATGGGATTGTTACAGAGCACAAAATACGGGCTGAGTGCTGTGATTCTGAATTTCCGATAATGTCGTCGATCTCTCAAACAATGCAAGAATAAACTCTGAACAAGTGTATCAACTGTGAACTCAACGATAATCACAGGCGACAACTGGTTTTTGTTTGTAACATTATTTGCGATGGGACACTAAAATTGATTCAATAATCTCGGAGTTAAAATAATTGAAGTTTTTCCAAAGTCTAATGTCGTCATTAAAGATTGAAAATCATCATGAATGTAAAGCGATACCTGTGTCAACATCTTTTGGAGATGCTGAATCTTTACAACATTCGAGATTTTAAAGTCCACATGTTGATTCAAGATGAATTTCGTTCATTAACTTCCAATATTAGTGCATTCGGACTTATTTTCGTCTATTGACTTTTCACTCGTATTAATTCGTCTAATATGAAATGAGCTATTTTATTTTGATGCATTTTCTGTGTATTAATAATTTCACTGTGATTTTGTGTTCAATGACGATGTCTCAGTGTTTGATAAAATTCTGTAACTAAATAGGCATTGAGTCTTCGATGTTATATTCTTCTGAGGTATTTTAAGCAAAGCTATATAGACGTGAACTCACTCTGATTACCTCGTAGGGAAAAAGAGGATAGAATCAGCCTCGTTCACCGTTGTGTTGTGAATAATTGACATTATTCACAGACCTGCCACAATCCTATCCATTTATCAATAGAATTTCAAAGTAACGATGTGAAATTTATACATTAAAATAATTCATGTTGAAACATTCATCGATGACTACATCCTTCTGTTGTGTGTGTTACTGATATCGACAGATATAAGTAGTACGTAGCATGGCGGCAGAAGGTTAGCACTAATAATAGTGCTGTTAGTAACGATAATAACTATCATTCTCAGTGCTGTTTTCAACTATCGTTTGCAAAAAAGAACAAAACTCAAATTTTTCTTGCTATTGTTGGTTTGCTTTGTTGCTTATTTTTACCGAGGGTTTTTGTTCTATTCAGTTACCAGTTGTCATTTTACTAAAACATAATATCCCCGAAATAAGATGTTTCTTTAGTTTGGTAGGATTGTGGTGTATACTACTTATGTTGACAAATATAAGTGGTATGTAACTGATCAGAAATGAAAAGCCTGGCATCAAAAGGTTGAAAAGATCGAACTGAAGAGAACAGGAATATAAATAGAGATTAACTGTGGTGAAAACGAGAATGAAGGACCGATGAAGTTTATAAAAGACGACTGATGGAAGATGTGCAAATGAAGTGTTGAATGTATAGTTTTCGTATTTTACGAAGATACTGTAATTTTTCACACAACATGAGTTTTTCGTTCACTACGGTATTATGAATCTTTTCCTCTAAATCGACCATTTGTTCTTGTTGTGTTCAAATCATTTTTTTGAAAATTGTTTGCAGGTAAGTTCGGAAGTTTCCTGGTTACAAGTTTCACGAACCTTAGGAACACTTGCGTCTCATGGAGAGGAAAGATCTGTTGATAAGCATTTAAATGACCTGTACATAGATCACTTTCGTCCCTCGTTAACTGCCATCAATCTGGCATCTTTAGGACAAGGATTTTTTCATGATCTTAGCCTATTTTCCAAGATAAAGGTAGGTTCATGTGATTAAAAAAATACTAAAAACCTGTTGTTGAAATTTTATTTATTTTTTATTATGACTGACCACCAGTGTAACGAGATCAAATCATTTTGACTGATTTTTATTTGTGTCATCGAAATGCTGACTTACAATAAAGATAGTATCCAATCATAATGAAGTCTATTCATATTCTGGATAGCGTTGCCTGCTGATTGCATATAGCAGTAAACGTATTTCTGTTTACTCACTTTCTGATTTGATTTCTTTGTTAATTATTGGATTAGTTTCCTTTTTTAAAATTCTATGTCCGACATCTGCTTAAGTGGTTATAATTATTTGATGTTTATCCTTTTTGTTTTTTGATTCGGCTCCATGTACTTGTTGTTTAGTGTAGATGTTCAAACTAAATCGGCATCTGAGATTAAATTTTAATCGCTGATATTTTCATTGTCGAGCTAAAAATCATCATCGGTGCTACCATTTGGATGAACAAAGTATACTGAATTGAACGACAAGCCGAGTGTATAACTCTAATTAAATCTATACTTTTTCTTCATGGAGAGATACTAATTATTTTCTACTGTTCTATAATTATTAGCCAATCTTCCAGTTTTATGAAGCCTTTAAAAGTGGAGCTTTGTAGCTCAGGTTGATGATTTTGGTGGAGTTTGTTCCCTGATCTGGATGGTTTGATTGTGGAGCTTTCATTATTCTTATGAACAACATCATCAGCATAAACTTGAAATAGAAGTGAAGTGTTCGGATCTTTCGACAAATGACTCACAGCTTGTCCTGTAGACCTCGATTTTGACTGGTTATTGTTGATCTCCCATTGATTTGATTCTTGTCCCTATATTTGTTCATGATTTTTCTGATCGGTTGATAGATTGGATCAATTTTAATGTGTTTCTTGATTGCTGATTGACTTGAGTGTCAAGCTTCTAAAAATTCTCTGGTGTTTTCAGAATTCCCTCTATCCAAGATCTCGATATTGAGATTGTGATGATGTTGTTCAGAAGAACGATGAAAGCTCCACGACCAAATTATCCAGCTCAGGGAACAAAACTCCACCGTAAGCATTTAAAAGTAGATTTCCAAAAAAATTTTGAGGATCCCGTTAAGAATTCGCTTTCATTCTTTCTCGATGATTTAATTTGGCTCTTCAGTTACTAAAATTCATTTTGTTCATTAATAACAACCACATTCAGATTGTCCATGGATAAATTAAGTGCATATTCCACTAACACCTAAACTAGTCACCACTTTTTTAGTTTTTATAGTCATATCCTCAAAATTTATTATTATAAAAGAACTAGAAATCTACCATAGTCAGTTTAGTGTCAGCTCTGTTTCTTCGTTCGCACCATTTTGATTGGATACCAATATCACTAGGTTCCACGAAAAAAGGTATAACTCGAGGCAGAACAAATACACCTTTATTTAATGAGTTGTCTAAAATATGTCCTCTGTTCTTTTGCCTCTACGATCAATCAAAACGTAGTTTTCCAAACGTATGGTTTAATGATTAGTCTACGTTCAACATGTATTATAATGTTTCGAATTTGGTAACTGCTTGTTACTCTTATTTCTCCAGTGCACTATTTCTCACTTGCCCTTACTGGTGCGAATCAGCAATACTAACTGGTCGCCTAATCCAAATTATGTAGATTTGTCTTTCAATCTGCAACTTCATAGTTCAAAACTGAGTACTCTAAACTTCAAGCCAATGCTCTAACATACCATCTCAATCGATATAAACCAATAATCGGTACCATCATTTATGTCAAGCTTATAATTTCACCATTATTCCTTAATTTTTGTATTTTCAGCCCACTATACCTACTATTCCATTACTGGTTTCTACCGGATGGGATTCTATTGGTGTTGTTGATCGAACTAATGGTCAATTATTGGCTGCTCATAGACTCCCAACTCAACCAACTGGTCAACCTATTGTTATTTCACTTGCACTATCCAATATAACTAAGTTGTCAGAAGTTGTAAATGTCCCTACTATATTGTTGGTTCCATGTAATGATATGTACGTATTGTTCTGTAATTAAATGTTTTTTACTATCAACGTTTTTAATGCGATAGGCATAACTTGATTAGATGCTTCGCTACGTTTGCTTGCATAACTCTTCCAGAGCTACTGCCGGTCCCATGCACAGATTTAGGTATCGAGTCAGCAACGCCATCCCATAGAAAACAACCTTGCCAGAAAGCACTAACCAGAATAAAAAAAATTAACCATTTAAATTCTATCCGCCGAGTTGAAGGATCTTCATTCAGAAGAATTATGACGCGTCATGGTGAAAGCCAAGGTGCTCCGGCAGTCACGATGCCCTTTCCAAAAACCAGAGTAACAATTAATATAGGTACATGGAATGTTCGGACAATGTGGGAGGAATGGAGGACCAATCAAATAGCTGCAGAAATGAGTAGATACAACTTGACGGTTCTCGGAATCAGTGGAACCGATTGGAGCCAATCTGGATAGAAAAAGATAGATTCTGGAGGGATGTTGCTGTACTCTGGTCACGAAGACGAAAATGCTCCTTAAACTCAGAGAGTTACTGTGATGCTGTCCAAAGAAGCACGAAATTCACTTGTAGGATGGGAATCTCATGGACCAAAAGATCATCAAAGCATCCTTCAAAACAAAAAAGGAGGGAATCACAATGAATATTATCCAATGATACGAACGATGACGACGGAGATCAGTTTTATGAAAAGCTGCAATCAATCATGACGAAGTGCCCAAGAAAGGATCTCACCATCATGATGAGAGAGATAAACGATAACGTCGGAATGGACAACACGCGATATGAAGATATCATGGAACGACATGGACAGACTGGGAGAAAGGAACGAGAGTGGTGGGAGATTTGCAAATTTATGTGCACTCAACAAAATGATTAAAGACTGCACAGTATTCCCACACAAAATCATACACAAAGCTATATGTGTGTCACCGGATCACACTATCGAGAACCAGATTGATCATATTTGCATCAGTAAAAATTTCAGAAGATTAATGGAAGATGTGAGAACCAGGGGGGAGCTGACATGACTTCCTATCACCACTAGCTGTTGGTTGTCAAGAATGAAATGGAGCTAAAGAAGCACTGGACAATTGGGGAAACAGCAGTACAAAGGTTCAATACAGCCCTCCTTCGACGTACTATCAAACTCACCGAATTCAAGATCACTCTCAACAACAGGTTCCAAGCCTCATAAGATCTACTCAAAGAAGAGAAAAGTACTATAGAGGAGAATCGGGAAGGGATCAAAGATGCACTAGCACCAACTTGTCAGAAGGTTCTGGATTTCAAGAAGCACATGATTGAAGAATAGAAGAACAAGAAGACTACAGTTAGGAACAGCCTAACAAGAACAGAGAAAGTCATGGCACAGACCGAATACATATAAGCAAACAAACTAGTGAAGGAGAGCATTAAATCTGACAAGCAGAAATACTTGGAAGAGCTATCAAAAATAGCGGAGGAAGCTGAAGGAGAAGGAAATGTAAAAAAACAATATAACAGAAGGGAGAAATTAGCGGGGAAATAGAGTAAACCAGAGAGATCGGTTAAGGACAGAGAATGGAAGCCAATCACTGAAATTTAAGAACAGAGGAAAAGGTGGGTAGAAGAATTTGAAGAACTCTTGAACAGAGTGGAAAAGTAATGGGACATGGTAATATACCACCTGGAACACTGAAGACAAACGTATAATCAAACTCAAACGTGCTACACGTTTGATGGAGAAAGCTAGTGGGCGGCTTATGCTCCTTTCCGAGGGGTAACAGTTGTAAGTAAGTAAGTTTGCTTGCACACATTTCTATTCATTATTTCTAATTCTTTCCAGACGTAGCTACACTTTTTATGATTATGGGCACAGCTCCAAACATCAGTTGCTTTAAAACACTAATAACTTCTTAGAAATATCGAAGTGCTTGTGGTGAATCAATCAATTAAAAGGCGCGTCACTCATGAAAAATATGCTTCAACATGGGATGCAGCACCCCAGTTCATTTACAATTCAATTTCAGTTAATATAGAAAGATAAAATAAGGGTACACCCAGAAATGTTTACTATAAGAACCGAGGCACTAAATTTACAAACTAGGCTAATTGTGAATATTTAGCAAAAGATGATTGACGTATAAAATTGGAAGAACCAAGAGAGAAACAATGTCTGACATATCGATCATATTTGATCTGATTAGCTACTAGGAGTAAAATAACCATATGTTAGTGATTGAATAAGTAACAGAATCCTATCTCTTCAGTCTTTTTTCCTGTTGTTGAGTTACTAAAATTTGCAATTGCATACTTATCTTGCTATTTCGTGTTGCATAAAATTGACTAAACTGAAGTTATTTTCTCTTTTTACTTTATTTTCGTTTTTAGACTTGTTGGTTTTGCTTTGGTACAAAGTCTACGCATATGGCTTTTGGTGCCTTTGATAATTAGTTTGACTGTATCTTTCTTTGCGCTTACATGGTGTTGTGATTTGGATGCTACAAACTCTTAATATTAATATCATTCTGTTTTTAAATAGGCATAGTTTATGTTTTGTAAGTATGATTCTCACTATTGTTGCGGTTTTTTCTAATTTTATGCGCCAACACATTTCATTAAGTACTATTTGCCTTAACCATCATTACTTTAAGTCAGTTGGTCAACGCTGGTTTGGTTCTTTTATTGTTATAGTCTGTTGTATTTCTTTCTAATTGTCTTCTCATTTGAAATCTTTTGTTATACTTGTGTATTTTTTAATCGTAAGAAAACAATTCATCACATGGGATGACATAATAAATTTGATAAGATTTTCATTGTTCATTACTCATATCTTTAATTTCTTTAAATCATAATCAATTGTAATATAAACAATAATGAACCAATGAGGAGGGGGTGGGTTAGCTACACACCAGGTGCACCATTTTTCATGCCAATCCCTACATTATTTTGAAATATACGTAAAAATGAGCAGCAGTCAACTGATTTGAAGTAATTCTTAAAAAACACATCACCCTTCATTAAACTTTTGGAATAAGCGTTTGCAATCAAACTACATATAGCTCCTAAGCAAATTGAAAAACTCAACTAATCCTATTTCCCAACATAAGGCACACAATAATTCTCACGGGAATCCGCTCATGAATATGGCCATTACATTTTAACGCCATAGTGAGATGTTACGACAATTTGGAAATTTCAACACTTTTAAACCAGCGTTTAGTTTGTTGACCACTTCATTTCCTTTTGAAATTGAAGCAGTCAGTTCTAGTCTTCAGCTGATAGCTGAAAACAGCCTGAGTGAATTATTTAAACATCTAAAGGTGGCTGAATTCTATTCGTCATTGGTAAAAAGTCCTGACAATTTAAAAAATTTGGCTCTCGACATATTCTTTATTTTGGCGTCAACATTAATTTGTGAATAAGCTACCCTTAAGGATAGGGAAAAACATCTTTTGACATGTCGACCCCCGAACGCGTCCCAACGTTGGACTCAACTAGATCACATCGTTATCAGCCACCGATGGGAGGCTCGACAGAAGACTGTCGCTCATTCTGAAGCACGTGCTTAGATTCAGATCATGCTCTAGTGCGAGCGCGTCTTTGTCCTACTGGACGTAGGAAAGACGCTGCAAGGAAGCCTTTTAGGGTCCTACTTAATGATAGGCTAGCTAAGAATATATCTCAGGAACAACTAGAAAAACAGGTAGGCAACAACAGTTAAGTTGTGCCCACCCAGAGGCAGCGAGCATCGGCACCTGAACTAATGATAGGGAATAAAGTAGTTGAGCGTGTCGACCGCTTCACTTGGGAGTCTGACCAGCCCTTGTGGTCTGGTGTGTGACGAAATCTCAGCACGGATGCAGAAGGCTCGTCTAGCTTTCGCCAACTTGCGTCATTTATGGCGTAGGCGAGATACTCGTCTACCAACCAAAGGACGGGTTTACTGCGCAGCATTTCGTTCCGCCCTACTTTATGGCAGTGAAACATGGCCGATAAGAGTAGAGGATATTCGTAGGCTACTAGTATTCGATCATAGGTGTCTTCGAAGTATTCCTCGTATATCCTGGTACCATTGAATAAATAGTCCAGTTGTTAGGAAACGGGTATTAGGTAAGGATGGCAAATCTATTGGTAAAGTAATGAAACCTCATCAGTTGAAATGGCTGGGATACATGTTACTTATGCCCAACCACCGACTGCCCCGACGTGAGATGTTTTATGGTGTAAGAGTAGGTTGGAAGATAGCTGGATATGAAGACATCATGGGAAGACATGGACTGGGAGAAAAGAACGAAAATGGTGAGTGATTTGCAAATCTGTGTGCCTCCCACACAAAGCCACATGGACTTCACCGGATCACACTACACAGAACCAAATCGACCATATCTGCATCAACAAAAAGTTCAGGAGGACGATAGAGGATGTGAGAACCAGGAGAGGAGCTGATACAGTATCCGTTCATCATTTGCTGGTCGCTAAGATGAAACTAAAACTTAAGAAGCACTGGACAACATCACAAAAGTTTAATACTGCCTTTCTTCGAGATGCTGACAAACTCAACAAATTCAACATAGCCCTCAGCAACAGGTTCCAGGCCTTTCATGATCTACTCAGTGGAGAAGGAACTACCATGGAGAGCAACTGGAAAGGTATCAAAGAAGCAATCGTTTCAACATGTCAGGAGGTTCTGGGCCACAAGAAGCACCATCACAAGGAATGGATCACTGTTGGTACACTGGATAAAATTGAAGAAAGGAGGAACAAGAAGGCAGCAATCAATATCAGCCGAACAAGAGCAGAAAAAGCCAAGGTACAAGCCGAATACACAGGCAAATAAGCAAGTGAAGAGGGGCATCAGAACCGACAAACGTAAATATGTGGAAGAATTAGCAATGGCAGCTGAAAAGGCTGCAAGAGAAGGAAACATGAGACAACTGTATGACACAACAAAGAAACCTGCTGGGAATTACCGAAAGACCAGTGAAAAGCAAGGAAGGCAAAGTAATCACCGACATTGAAGAACAACGAAACAGGTGGGTAGAACACTTCAAAGAACTCTTAAATCGACCAGCTCCACTAAACCCACCCAACATCGAAGCAGCACCCACAGACATCCCAATCGATGTTGGCCCACCAACAATTGAGGAGATCAGCATGGCCATTAGACAAATCAAGAGCGGCAAAGCAGCGGGACCAGACAGCTGAAGGCAAATCTAACAGCAACTGCCAAGATACTCCACAACCTCTTCAGTAAGATTTGGGACGAAGAACAAGTACCAACAGACTGGAAAAAAGGACTTCTGATCAAGATGCCAAAGAAAGGCGATCTGAGCAAGTGCGACAACTACAGGGGCATCACTCTTCTCTCAATACCAGGAAAAGTCTTCAACCGAGTATTGTTGAACAGGATGAAGGATTCCGTGGACGCCCAACTTCGAGATCAACAAGCTGGATTTCGTAAGGATAGATCGTGCACAGATCAAATCGCAACTCTGCGGATCATTGTGGAACAATCAATCGAATGGAATTCATCACTCTACATCAACTTCATCGACTACGAGAAGGCATTTGATAGCGTGGACAGGACGACACTATGGAAGCTTCTTCGACACTACGGCGTGTCTGAGAAGATAGTAAATATCATACGGAACTCCTATGATGGACTAAACTGCCAAATCGTCCACGGAGGACAACTCACCGACTCATTCGAGGTAAAGACTGGTGTTAGGCAAGGTTGCTTACTCTCACCCTTTCTCTTTCTCCTAGTGATCGACTGGATTATGAAGACGTCAACATCTGGAGGAAAGCACGGGATACAGTGTACAGGCAGGATGCAGCTGGACGATTTAGACTTCGCGGATGATCTGGCTCTTCTATCACAAATGCAGGAGAAAACGATCAGTGTAGCAGCAGCATCAGCAGCAGTAGGTCTCAATATAAACAAAGGGAAAAGCAAGACTCTCCGATACAATACAATATGCACCAATCAAATTACACTTGACGGAGAAGATTTGGAGGATGTGGAAACATTTACATATCTGGGCAGCATCATTGATGAACACGGTGGATCAGATGCAGATGTGAGGGCGCGGATAGGCAAAGCAAGAGCAGCATATCTACAACTGAGGAACATCTGGAGCTCAAAACAATTGTCAACCAACACCAAGGTTAGAATTTTCAATACAAATGTCAAGACAGTTCTTCTGTATGGAGCGGAGACGTGGAGAACTACGAAAGCCATTATCCAGAAGATACAAGTGTTTATTAACAGTTGTCTACGTAAAATACTTCGAATCCGTTGGCCAGACACTAACAACAACAAGTTACTGTTGGAGACAACAAATCAGATTCCAGCGGAGGAAAAAATCAGGAGGAAGCGCTGGAAGTGGATAGGGCACACTCTGAGGAAATCACCCGATTGCGTCACAAGACAAGCCCTCACATGGAATCCTGAAGGTCAAAGGAGAAGGGGAAGACCAAAGAACACATTACGCCGAGAAATAGAGACAGACATGAGAAGAATGAACAAGAACTGGATAGAACTAGAAAAGAAGGCCCAGGACAGAGTGGGTTGGAGAATGCTGGTCGGCGGCCTATGCTCCATTGGGAGTAACAGGCGAAAGTAAGTAAGTAAATTTATTTCACTGGATTATACTCTTTGAATAACATCTTCAAACCCTAATCTTTCGGATTACTGCTTATAGTTTTACTACTTCTAACACTATGGGATTTGAATCGACAACTGCATCTCTGTGCTAATGTGGTATGGCAACTCGAACTGATTTATGTACGTACGAATTTCTATGTTGTGGGTGACTGACTTTGAATAAGCTTCTTATGTATCCATCCAACTAGTCGAAATTTGGATCTCATCTCAGAGACGTAAATGCGAAGTTTGTACTGGATATTGCGATAAGGCAAATAATTTTTCTTCATAATGAACTACTGACAATCTGCATAGTAGGAGTAGCAAGTTTTCATAACTTCATGGAGATTGAGTCTACGGTTTTCAAGATGTATCATAACGATAGTCTTATCCAAAAGCTTTACTCTCCCCTACTTTCCAATGAACAAGAGTTATTGGCTTAATGGTTTGACCACTATCCACTTATCTTGAAATCTAATTTTTACTCATTTTTTATTCATGTAAATAATGTATTATTTTTAAGATAACTCACTAATCTTAGTCGATGACGGTTCACAGCTTCTCTCTTTAAAACGTTAAGCTTAACGCCTAATGTAAAAAATTATCAGATATGATTAATTGAGAATCTGAAAAAACAGCTAGTTCTTTTTTTTACATAGATTTCCTACATTGTTTGAATGATTTATTATTCATAGGGGCGACACATAATGATTTATTATGTTTTACTAAATTATACAATGAAAAAATGATTAATTTTAGAAGGTTAAAAGGGATGAATAAAGGTTGTGAAGAGAACGGAATAAGAAATGAGTGCTAATGAAGATAAGAAAAGCTATTGTTATCTATAAGTACACAATAAACAAACAGTGAGCATAGAAAGAAAAAAGAATGGAAAAACACTGGGAAAAATGTGATCTTATCGTTTTACAACTAGAAGATATGTCATCAAACAGCCATCATAGCATTAGGGTTTGTGCGGTTAGTTCTCGGTTATTATGAGTTACTGAAATAAAAACCTTTTCGCTTATAATGTTTCATGATCAATATTTTAATACTGGTCGGCGTATTAGGCTTTGGGCTACACTTGATGACTGATTTGAAGTCGTCTACTGATGTGAACACCCGGGTACATTTATTTTGAAATCATAGTTTTATGGTTGTGTTGTTTAAATGTCAAATAAAACAAAATTTCTGTATTTCTCCCAGTTTATTAGTTTTTAAGCACGGATAAATAACATAAATTAATTAATTTCATATATCTTACGAATCTCCAATTGTCCAGATTGATGTGTATCAAATGCGACTGTTATTTTTTGTGGGAATCTGTTCGAAAACTGTTTAAGACACGTCAGGAAATTGATACTACTTTCATACTAATTCAGTAGTATGAAATACGAGTATCAATTTGAATAGTTTCCAAACCTAGCATGTCTAGGTGGTAGGTTGAATGAGAAGACTTCTTTTAATGACCATCCAAATAATATTCAACTTAATCAGTAGAAAAAATCCGTGTAATTTATTGAAGTTGAGTCTATTAGAAATATATATAACTGCCTTGTATTCTTTATGGTTGTATTTAGTTACGACAAACTTGTCAGGCGTGAAAACAAGTTTGGAAATTTTAATCGTCAAATAATATTACTGTTTATATTTATTGTCACTCAACTTAAAGATGTTGGAAGCTGGCTCCTGTTTAAGTTAAAATTTACAATGTAACAG